GAAGGAATGACAGACCAGTGACCTACCCAACTTGAGACCCATCTCATGAGCAGGCGCCAATCCCTGACATTATTACTGAAACTATGTTATGCTTGTAGACAGGAGCCTAGCATAGCTGTCCTCTGAGAGGCTCTACCAGCAACTGACTGAGACAGAGGCAGATACTCACAGCCAAACATTGGACAGAGGTCAGCGACCCCTAGGGAAGAGTTAGAGGAAGGATTGAAGGACCTGAAGGGAATAGCAACTCCACAGGAAGAACAACAGTGTCAACTAACCTGGACCCCTGGGACGACCCCCCCTCGCCCACACACACACATGCAGCAGAGGGCTGCCTTGTCTGGCCTCAGTGGTAGATGGTGCACATAATCACGTAATCCTGCAGAGACTTGATGCATGGAGGGAGTATGGGGGGTGTCACCCTCTCAGAGGCAAAAGGTAGGGGAGGATGTGAGGAGGAACCCTGGGAAGAGGAACATGGAGGGTCAGCATTTGGGATGTAAATATTTTTAAAAAATAAATTAAAAAGAGTTAATGTAGGGGGCTGGAGAAGTGGCTCAGTGGTTAAGAGCAACTACTGTTCTTCCAGAGGACCTGAGTTCAATTCCCATAACCCACATCAGGTAGCTACAACCACCTGTCACTCTAGCTCCAGGAGATCCAACACCTGACCTACACACACACAGACACACACACAGACACACACACAGACACACACACACACTTACTAAAAGAGTTAATATAGGGGCTGGAGAGATGGCTCAGTCAGGCCTGTTCCACACCTGCTGTTCACAACTGCCTGTCACTCCAGTTCCAGGGGATGCTATACCCTCATCTGGTCTCCACAAGTATGTCCATGTGATACGCCTTTGCCTGACTCTGTCCTCTCAAACGCATCTCTGTCTGAACCAAGAATCAGCATTCCTAAGGGCAGGCTACCAAGGACCTACTGCCATCCCAGCTGTTATCACTCAGCAGAGATGAATAACTTTCCTCTATTATTTTTATCAGAATAACTTAAGGGATAAGTCGGTAGGGGGTATATTTGCAGCTCAGCATGTGGAAACAAAGAAATCTGACTCATTGCCTGGTAAGGAAAACAACCATCTCCCATCCCCTACTCGTACGTCATCCCCTACCCCCATCCCCAGTGCAGACTCCTGTTCTGCTCAGAAATTTAATATACAAGGCAAAACGTTTTACATACTATGCAGGAAGTTGCATTACAGGTAACCTGTATTGGCAGATGTCACTGTCTAAAATGCTGATGGGCCTCTCTCTAGCCCTCTCCTCACACATTCCTTAAAGAAGGAGTCCATGCCTTTCCAAATCTATGTATAACTGTTCAACAATGGTTTCCATAACAGCCTCTTATGAGTGACTATGTAAGTGTTATGAGGAACTCAGGGACGAATCTCAGAAAATCTTATTTATCTATTTTGGTTTCTTATAAATAGGTGTTTTCAGTGAACACACAAAACAGAGTTAGGGCCGGGCAGTGGTGGCACACGTCTGTAATCCCAGCACTTGGGAGGCAGAGGCAGGCGGATTTCTGAGTTCGAGGCCAGCCTGGTCTACAGAGTGAATTCCAGGACACCCTGGCTACACAGAGAAACCCTGACTCAAAAACAAAACAAAACAAAACAAAACAAAACAAAACAAAACAAAAAACAGAGTTAGACCTGGGGGTATGGGATTACCTAGTGTGCAGGAAGCTGTGAGTTCAGTCCCTGGCACCGAGTAAACCAGGCGTGGTAGTGCATGCCTGTAATCCCAGCAAGCAGGAGACAGAGCAGGAAGAATACGAGTTCAAGGTCATCTTCATCCACAGGGCAGATTTGAGGCTATCCCAAGTACAGGAGACTTGATCTAAAAAGTAAAAATTGAAATACATCGGCAAAGGACTTTTAAATTTTCTCTAGGCCTGGAGATGGCTTTAGCAGTTAAGAGCACTCGCTGCGGGCTGGAGAGATGGCTCACTGGTTAAGAGCACTGACTGCTCTTCCAGAGGTCCTGAGTTCAATTCCCAGCAACCACATGGTGGCTCACAACCGTCTGTAATGAGATCTGGTGCCCTCTTCTGGTGTGTCTGAAGAGAACTACAATGTACTCACATATATAGAATAAATAGATTTATTTAAAAAAAAAAAAAAAAAGAGCACCCGCTGCTCCTGCAGAGGGCTAAGTTCCCAGCAGTGGTGGCTCACAGCCGCCTGTCAGTCTAGTTGCAGGGCACCCGATGCTCTCTTCTGAACTCAGGTGCCAGACATTCACATAGTGAACAGACATCATGCAACCCAAAACTCATATACGTAAAATCCAATTTTATTTTAAAAACTGTTAATACTCGAATTTGGGGAGACAGTGACAGGCCGATTCTGAGTTCAAGGATAGCCTGAAAAAGATGCTATCTCAAGAAAAAAAAATGAGACAGGTATAATGACACATACCTTTAATCGTGGTACTCAAGAGCCAGATGTAGGTGGATCTCAGTGAGTTCAAGGCCAGGCTGGTCTATGTGAATTCCAAGGCAGCCAGGGCTACACAGAGGAAACCCTGTCTCAAAAAAAAAAAAGTTATAACTCTCATTTTACAACAGATAATGAAACTAAACTAAAGCCAAAAACACCAAAGTTTCTTAATTACGCAAGCAATCAATTAAAACAGACTTGAAGTCTAATGTTTTTAGGGCTGTCCCTACAACCTACTCTGTCTTTCTGCAAAATAAAAATGAAAATTAAACAAGGAAAAACCGCCACCTTCAACCCAAAGGATGTTTAGTCAACTATAAAGAAGGAAAGAGGGGGGACCCCGAGACGGCTCAGGGAGCAAAGACCACCAGGGGACTCTCAGGAGGGAAGGAGAGAATAAATTCCTGTAAGTTGTCCTCTGACCTTCACATGCATGCTGTGGTGAACATGTACACATGCACACACACACACAGAGATATACATACATATATATGTGTGTGTATATATATATGTATATATCTGTGTGTGTGTATATATATATATATACATACATACATATATGTGTGTGTGTGTGTGTGTGTGTGTGTATGTATATCTGTGTGTGTGTGTGTGTGTGTGTGTGTGTGTGTGTGTGTGTGTATGGAGTCCAGTGGTTAAGCACATTGGCTGCTCTAGAAGACCTGGGTCCAGTTCCCAGCAACTACATGGTGGTTCAGAGGCATCGGTAACTCCAGTTCCTGGCATCCAATGCCTCTTCTGATCTCAACAGCCTCCTGTCCACATGTGGCTACCTTCATATGCTCAGGCACACAAACATACATAGATAAATAGATATTTAAAAATTATAAGAATTTTTGTTGTACAAATCAGTTATAGTTTTCAGCCCACTTAATATTAAAAGACTCTGCTCACACATCTAAGAGAACGTGTGTGCCAGCCCGTGCTGACCTGTACAGGACGCTCTCTGGCCACACCATACCCTCTCTCAACTAGAATAGCTACCTGGACTTGTCACGATATAAATGCCTGAAAACTAAAAGCCAACTGTTACTTTTTAACCATGTACATTCAATTTTGCCTTTTAAAATTACAAACTACTTCACGCTGAGTGTCAAAACACACAGCCTTAATCTTGGCACGAGTGAAGCAGAGGCAAGCTGATCTCTTTGAATCTGAGGCTAGCCTACTCTACATGTTGAGAACACATTGTAAAAACAAATGATCAACTACTTAGAATAGTCTAGAAAAATAGAGAATACAGGAAGCTGGAAGCACTAAGTATCATCTAATCTTCAATTGTGTTACATAGTTTCTGTTTCTTCCACATTTTCCACTTGTTTGCCTGTTTCCCTGGCAGAGTCTTGTCCCCGAGTTAGCCTCGAGTTTAGCTCTAAAGAACCTCCCACCACAGCCTCCTAAGAAGTCAAGAAGTCTGATGCTATTGCTGCTGTTCTCAAAAGTGCTAGAATGCTGTAGAAACCTTCCCTCTCTCTAATCGGCTACTAACTGGCGTTTCCCGCTGTGCAGTTCCCATCCACACTGCATAGCCTTATCCCACAGCTATCAATATCAGTGCCTGTTCTTGTTTTACAAATGTTTTAATGATAGCGCATAAATCACCTTCTTAAGTTTGCTTTATGTTTCCACTCACACTAAGGATTTTTAAGTCTTATCCAAGTTGAGAATATTCTGGCAAGAACACAGGGGGAAAGGAGCCTGTAGGCTACACAGTGTTTGCCTGCCAGGGATGAGGCCCTGATTTGGAGCCAAGCACCACGGGAAAAATGTTTCCTTGATCAGACATGGTAGCTCACGGTTGTAATCACAGTATTTGAGAAGATGAAACCAGCCTGAGCTATTGCTTAAGTGAATACACAAACAGGGGGCTGAAGGTGGCACGGTGGTTACGAACCCTGGCTGCTCCTCCAGAGGACCCTGGTTAGGTTCCCAGCACCCACATGGGAGCTCACAGCTATCTGTAACTCCAGTTCCGAAGGATCCAATGCTCTGTTCCAGGTATCAGGCACACAAGTGGTAGCCAGATATATATCCAAGCAAAACAACCACATACATAAAATAAAAACTTAAAGATCAAATTAAAAGAGAGAGAAAGAAGGTGAAGGAAGAAAGAGGCTGTTTATCTGCTATAGAAAAGTAAGGCAAACCCTTGGACTCTGCTGGTGTCAATTTAAAAAAAAATACTAAAAATAGAACTGCCATATGGTCCTGCTTTACCTTCCTGGGTATATAACTCAAAGCAGTCAGGGTCAGCATTGGACAGAGACCCACACCCAAGTCTATCATGCCACTGTTCAACAATAGACACGTTAGAGGATCAGCCTGCGTGTCCATCAGCACATGAGTGGATATAGATGACGAGGTGTAAACGCCACATAGGTATTTACACACCACATAGTGTAAGACCTCCTGACCTTCCTGTCCCGGTGAGGTCCTAGGAGTTTTATTTAGCCATAAAGAAGGATGAAATGACCCTTTCCAGCCTCTGCCTCAGACCCTGCAGCCGCCACGATGTTGATGCCTAAGAAGAATCGAATTGCCATCTATGAACCCCTTTTTAAGGAAGGCGTGATGGTCGCCAAAAAAGATGTCCACATGCCCAAACACCCCGAGCTGGCAGACAAGAATGTGCTCAACTTTCATGTAATGAAGGCCATGCAGGCTCTGAAGTCTCCAGGCTACGTGAAGGAGCAGTTTGCTTGGAGACATTTCTACTGGTACCTTACGAATGAGGGCATCCAGTATCTTCGAGATGACCTGCTCCTGTCTCCGGAGATCGTGCCTGCCACCCTGCGCCGCCCGGAGACTGGCAGGCCTCGGCCCAAAGGTCCAGAGAGTGAGCGGCCTGCAAGATTCACAAAAGGGGAGGCAGACAGAGACACGTACAGAAGGAGTGCTGTGTCCCCCGGAACTGACAAGAAAACTGAGGCTGGGGCTGGCTCAGCACTGAGTTCCAGTTTAGAGGCGGATTCAGTCGTGGACGTGGTCAGCCACCTCAGTGAAGTTGGAGATTATTTTGTATTGAATAAACTTTAAAGAAAAACAAAAATGGATGAAATGGATGGAACTAGAGATTGCTGCAATTGGAAAAATAAAACAGACAGACCTGGAAAGATTTTGTTTTGTTTTGTTTTGTTTTGTTTTGTTTTGTTTTGTTTTGTT